AAGTTTGAAGACCCCTGATCTATCACCTATCACCTATCATCTATCACCTATCACTTATCATCTATCAATCTATCATCTTTCTCTCTCTCTCTCTCTGTACCTACCTACCTATTTACCTATCTATCAATCTATCTATCTATGCATGTATCAATGCATGTATCTATCATCTATCACAAGGTTCTTCAAACTTGACAAGCTTTAAGACTTGTGAACTTCAACTCCCAGAATCCCTGAGCTAACATGACTGGAGGAAGAGGAATCCTGGGAGTTGAAGTTCACAAGTCTTAAAGCTGTCAAGATTGAAGACCACTGTCTTAAGGTCTCTCAGGATATCTTCCATTATATATTTCTTTTAGCGGATTTGATTCCTTCCCTGCAAGAATCAATATGAGCTCAGCCACCTGTCCATATCTTCTACCATAAGAATGGGAAAGAACAGTCCTTCAACCAGGGGTGGGAATTCAACCGGTGTTACTACCGGTTCGGCGACTACATTTTGCATAGGCTGTGCACGCGTGTAAACAAACCTTAAGCTGTGCCACCCAAACAGCTGAAAAGCGCTGTGCGCAGATGCGCAGTGTTTGAAAAGCCTCTTTTTCTGTGCCGCACAAACGAGTTGAAAAAGCAGGAAATAAAGGACAGGTAAGAGCCCAGGTGGGCAGGTGGGCTGAACAGCAGCAAACACAGAACCAGAAACACCCCACTCCTGCCTTCAACTCTTCGATCCTTTCTTTGTCTTTGGTCTGCCTTCTTATCACCTTACACCTTTTTGAGAGATAATTGTGAGAATGGCTTTTCCGTTCCTGAAGGAAGTCTTGTTACCTGAATATCGCAAGAAAGATGGACGCCTCTTTCTGCTTTGGTGGATCTTGAGAATGGAGAGAAAACTAATAGGATAACAGAGTGGGAAGGGTCCTTGGAGGTCTTCTAGTCCAACCCCCTGCTCAAGCAGGAGACCCTACACCTGTCAGGCGGTGCTCCATTCAAAATCCAAGAAAGAAATACTCAGACTCCATAGATTAGAGAAAAGAATTCTTTTTACTGAAAATGAAGTGGTAGCATCAAGTAGGATTCTGAATCTGAGAAATTAGGCGCACAGATCACATATACAAAGGGATGGAATTGTTCCCACTCCCCATAGTTCAAAAGATTCTTCCAATTAAAAGTTCTGGATATGATCATGTGGACACCTTCAGGTGGTGATGAGGCCTCTGTCCGTTGACCTTGGCATATTTTGATAAAGGTTTGCAGCTGCGCAGAGAAAAGAAAGCTAAGCGAGAAATAGAAACCTAAAAGCAGGAATTTTTACTCCCCCCCACTCCTCATTTACACAACACAAGAATGTAACACCTCCAGCTCGCTTCCCAGACTTTACTCCCTCCTCCCCCCGTTACTTATGGCAGCCGAAAGATGCAAAGCGATAGTAGAAGATCTTGACGGCTGACAACACCAATTCAGACAGATGGCTGCCCAACAACGGCTAGAGAAATGGAGCACCCACAACTTCTGAAGGCGAGCTGTTCCTCTGATTAATTGTTCTGTCAGGAAGTTTCTCCTTAGTTTTTGATTGGCTGTGTCTTCTTTGCATCCACTGCTTCCTGTTCAGCAGTCGTGGTATTCTACCGGCTCAGCCCGGTTCTGGTGAGCCAGTAGCAGCGATGAGCAGCGGGGACCAAACCAGTTCTCTCCGCCGCTCCGCTCCTGGGCCCATCCTTTATCTGCTGAATTTGAAACGCGGCTGCTTTGCATGGCACAGAAGGATGCCACGTGGCAGCTGCTGAAGCGACCGGGATCGTGTAGGAGGTGAGTTAGAACACCTCTGCGCCTGCGCAAAGTGTGTGTTTGGCTCGCGCACGTGCAATGTATGTGCACGCGCACAAAGCACACCCACCAAGCCATTCCCATAGAACCGGTGGCAAAAATATTTGAATCCCACCACTGTTGTTTAGCCTTCAAGTGCTTTGGAGCAGGGGTCTCCAACCTTGGCCACTTTAAGACTTGTGGACAAGTCCAATGTCTTAAAGTGGTCAAGGTTGGAGATCCCTGCTTTGGAGAATAGGTTGACTCTATTGTCCAAATATTCTCTAGCCCTAACTAATGAGGACCTTACCTCCTCTCCTTTCTCAAGTGTATATTTACACCAGGGATGACCCTGGTCTGTTCAGCTACTCAGCCAAGGCTGTGAACCCGACATCTCCAACATTGATGGAGATTTTTAAGAAGAGACTGGACAGCCATTTGGCCGGAATGGTCTACAGTAAGTTCCCCTGCTTGAGCAGGCAGTTAGGGGTGACTTAGTAGATTTCCACAGTCCCTTCCAACACTATTACTCTGTGTTCTGTGTTCTAAGTGTGAAGAAATTTGACTTCACCTTTCTTACTGTTTTGACATTTTTTTAAAGTTCCCCTTTATGGTCAAGACTGACTCTTTCAAAGCCATTGGACATCTTCCTTACTTGCCTAATTCTTAGTTAGTCACATCTTTAGCAATGCTGCTCCGTCTTACAAGAGAATAAAGCTAGACCCTTCCCTTTGGTGGAGCATGTAAGCACCTTATCTAAGATTTTGCTGCACAAAATCTTGATCACATGAACTTTGGGATGCTCCAGCTTGTTCTCTCACTGTCTTGAGGACCTTTCTCAGCTCAATGTTTGTGCATAATAGGAGGATGGAGGTCATCCAAGACCCATCTGAAGGAGGTACATGTCAGTGAACATGGCTGAGGGAGCCTGAAACTCTCCAACTCATCTGAAGTCCAGAGAGTGGTCCTCCAAGGACAGTTTTCCAATTTTGGCCCCTTTAAGACACATGGACTTCAACTCCCAGAATTGAATGGCTGTCTGACTGGGGGATTCTGGGGATGTTGGTCCACATATCTTAAAGAGGCCAAGGTTAGGAAGCCCTGATCCAAAATATCTCAGCAGGTTCCTTTCAGGTTGTCAAGGAGTACCTGGAATAGGCATCCTTCTCTTCCCCTGCGCTGAAAAACACCCAAGACTTTCCCAAACAAGACTCATGCCCTTGTTGACCAACTATTTTGAGAAAAAGGCATGTGATAGTCCTGGGAAAAAAGAAGGTGATCCATCCTAACCTTTGGCAAAGTTGGCAGAGTAAGCCCACCTCAGTTGCTTCAGACTCTTGGCAGCTCTGAGGATGTCTTATTTCAGTCATGGAGACCCTGAAGACTGTCAGGGTACGAAGTTGCATCTCGGCATGAGACTTGCCAGATAACATGCTCTCCCAGGTGCTGAGCACGGGGTACCCCAGAGTCATGTGACCAAAAGGAGTTTTCAAGAGAATTTGTCCGCAATAATATTTTGAGGGTTTTGTTTGGCTTTGCGTCTACAGTAAACAACACAAAAATGGGGAAGGAGAATCATAGGGGAAGCTGTTAACGTGGGAGAGAGGAGAAGTGAAGACCGCATGAGTAGCAACACTGTTCTTTTGAAGTCATGTTGTAAAAGCTGATAGTGAGGGCATCATAACCGTGAAACGGAACCTGGGGATCCTTTGTCCACAATCCAAGGAGCCACTGCGAAGTGCTTAGCAAAGAGCAGCCTCCCATAACTTTCAGGACATTCCTCCTTCGTTCCAGGTTGCTTCTCTCCTTGATTAATTTCCATCCCTTCTTTCCCGACTTCAGGTGCTTTGGGGAATAACTTGACCCCCCGCCCGTCTCTTCTTTGGGGCAGCCCCTCAAATATTGGAAGACTCTTATCATGTCCCACCTAGACCTTCTTTTCTCTAGACTACCCGCATCTAAATCCTGCAACTGTTCTTCATACATTTCGGTCTCCAGGCCTTTGATCATCTTAGTTGGTCTTCTCTGCAAAGTCTGAACAACTTTTTTGTAATGCGGGGACCAAAACTGGATTCAATATTCCAGGTGTGGTCTTACTAAGACTTTATAAAGCAGTACTAGTACTTCACGCAATTTTATGCCTCTGTTTATACAACCAAACAGAAAAAAAGTATTAGCTTTTTTAACTGGTGCCGCACACTGAGGACTCCTGCTTAAGTGATCGTCCACTGGGACTCCAAAGTCCCTCTCACAGTTATTGGTTTTGAGCCAGGTTTTGCCTAAAGGTACTTATACCTTTGGTTTTTGGAATAGAATAGAATAGAATAGAATAGAATAGAATAGAATAGAATA